TCCACATGATAGGATTTGTACAGACATCAACTTGGTCAATACTACCCACAGACAAAAATATGATTTCTGAGTGCTGTGATCAATATTTGGGCAACCTGCACTTCACATCACAATCCTTGTCATATCAAATAGGTTCATTGCTAACCACTGCTTGATTCCTTCATTCCTTTCTTACTTTTCTCTGAATATATTCTTAAAATTGTGTCAATCACTGTTTTGTCAATGTGTTACAGTTTTGATGCATTTTCAGCTCTGTACATCATTATATTATCCAGGAATGTCTTGGGGAAAAATATAAAATCCCCTTAAAGTTAAGAAAATTTTATTCTGGCTAGTAGCAAATTTTAGGCAGTTATTGCATAATTTCAGCATGAAGTGAGCAATTATTTGCCTAGAGGGACATGAAGTAGCCATGAAGGAAAATGACCCCATGTATCTTGAAAGTAACTAAAAAGTAAGAATCTGTGAGAATTAGGGTGTCCCAATACCATAAATCTGCCACTTGTATTGCTTTTTTTATTATTCATTTATTCACATGTACATACATTGTTTGGGTCATTTGTCCCCCCTGCCCCCTCCCCCCTCACTTCCAGGCAGGTCCTGATCTGCCTTTATCACTAGTTTTGTTGAAGAAAAACGACAAGCATAATAAGGAAGACAAAGTGTTTTTGCTAGTTGAGCTAAGGATAGCTATCCAGAAATATTCCCAGTATTGCTTTCGTGTACACGTGTTATGACTCATGTTGAATTTCTTAATTTCAAATAGAATACTTAAGAAAGTAAGGCATTTACAAATAGAGGTGCTAAGATTTAAATTCTACCACTAAAAGACCTACTGTCATATACTCACAAATATTCTGTTAAAACGTCTAAAATGTTGTTGTATCAAGAAACCAAAAATTATTTTTGAAGACATGATCATTAGAAAAAGTGTTCTTAATGGAAAAGTGAAGGAAGTAGCAGAATCACCTATTCATAGAGGTTTCAGCTACCTGTGTATATTACAGTGGATCGTTTTCTTCCTTTGTGGTAATAAAAAAGGCAAAAGAGGCAATTTTCTAGACAAGTAAATGAATAGGTATAATGGTTTGTGACATTTTAAAAATATAAATGAACACATGGAATGTCCTGTCTCCTAATAGTGTGATCTTAACACACATGAATTCTATCAACAGAGAGAGTAAACAAAAATAACCCCGAGAATAGGGAAATAAAAACAATGTTAAATACTGTCCATAACACACCATTTGTGGCTAGACTCCGTGTGTTGATTACGTACCTGAAAGCTTTTTGCAAGAACAGATTGCAGCTGTAAGAGGCAGAATTTCTCTAGAAGATAATTTCCACATATAATGCACCTTATCGTTTTCTATCTCTGTGTTACTCCTTCATGTTCATTTTATTGATTCTTCTAAATCAAATTTATCTTCTTTCATTTAACTACGCATCCAGTCCTGTTGCTATTTCTTACTACTCAGCTTTTCATAGAGACTTGAATTCTGTTCAACTTGCTCTTATTTTTATAGATGAAATAACCAAAGGACCAACTAAGGCCTCAGAAACATTTCCTCAGGTGAATGCAGAAATTGATAAATTGACTTCAATGTGAATTATCAATTACATAAAGGGGGGTGATGCATTTCTGTCCTTTTTATGTCATGTACATTACATGGCTTAGTTATGTTCATAGATTTGGTACATTTGATAATAGGACTCAATGTCTACCTAGTGCAAAGTGTACTGATTGAGTGAGGAAAGGGACAGGGAGCAGAGACAATTCTCTGCATGTAGTCTTTAAACCATCAATCTATTAAGAAGAAAAATTGACCTCGGTAAACAAAGGCTGATCACTGTGTTAATGTGATGGAAAATGAATGTGCTTCTCATGAGACACCTGGAGAGGCACTTCTACCTTTGGCTAAGAAGCAGTTGAGGAATTTTTTTTAGTACGTTTCATCCTGCTCTTTAAATCTGTCTGCAAAGTATATTTTGGCTAATGACACAGAAAACTCTTGAAAGTCTTGGTAGATGATCTCTCAGTGGGCCTATGCCTCACAATCCACCCTCTTACCTTTTTTTTTTTTTATTCGTATGTGCATACAAGGCTTGGGTCATTTCTCCCCCCTGCCCCCACCCCCTCCCTTACAACTCACTCCGCCCCCTCCCTCTCCCCCCACCCCCTCAATACCCAGCAGAAACTATTTTGCCCTTATTTCTAATTTTGTTTTGTAAATGGGGATAGTCACTCTTATTTTCCTTTGTGGTACTGAGACTTGAACCCAGGGCCATCCACAAACTATGCAAGTGCTCTGCCACTGAGCTGCATACCAAGCCCTAGAAAACCACTTTGAACTATGTGTGCTGGATTTGTATACCTAAAGCGAGGTTTTTAAATATCAGGTTTCTGAGCATTAATTATAGTGTGCTAAACCTTTCATGACTCAATCTCACCTTTGCATTTTAAACTCTGTAGTTTTTTCAAATTAGACTTCTCTTTGCTCTCCATACATGCTGTGTGCTTTCACACCCTCGGGATCTGCTGAAGCTCCTCTCTGTCCCACCCACGTCTCTGTCTAATTTCTCCATTTCTTCAAAATTTTCTGAAGCCTTTCTTAATCTCCTATTCAGAAATGATCTACTCCTTTTGACATAATAGCGGTTTCTTTTTACATTTTATATTATACAATCTGGTTCACATGATACAGTCTGTGCTTATGACTTATTTCTTTAACAAGAACATTAACAGTTTGAAGACAGGGTCAAAGAGGTATATCAGCTTTGTATATTCATAGGTAACAATATTTTGTTCATTCATCTTTTCTATACACACAAAAATTCTTCATCTCACATACAACACAAACACACAAAAGATTTTGGACACAGTCTTGTGATATAAACATCTAATCAGAAATTCAACTCTGGTCTGATGGACCACTGCTACCCTCTCTCCTCCTCTGACATGTCTGTAAAAAAGATTTAATGTCTAAGCTATCTCCAAACCTACCAAATTCTTCTCTGGCACATTTCAACTCTTTGATTTAAGAGAAAAGTAACTCAACTCTTACAATATAAAGGAGCATACAATTGTCAGAACTGTATACCCTTGATTACATGTGTGCATGTATCTATGTGATAGGCATTTGGCCACTTCTGGTGGGGGGGATTGAAAACTTGCAGCTTTATGTTAACAAGATTATTTAGCACAGGTTGTATCCTTTTAACTGTCCTCTGTGATTGTGTGTGCATCTGTGTTTTCTTTTGCTGTCCTAGAGCAATCAAGAAATGGTATATATATATATATATATATATATATATATATATATATACCACTCATATGTTTTTGCTGTTACCACTGTTTTTGGTGCAACCCAGAACCAGTAAAAAGGAGAGTGGATATGATGTCTTGGCAGGAGAACTCCCCAAATATATTATTGGCTGCTATAAATTCAAGGGGGAAGAAAAGCTTCCCAAGCTGTGGGGTGCAGAAAGGGCCTCTGATTAGAGGAGTTCAGGTGCATGTTGAGTGTTGGTTGTTCCCTTCATCTCTTCCCAATAGCTCCATCCCAGGATGCCAAGAAAGCAAATCTTCTGTATCAATCTTTCTGACTGGAGAAAACAAACTGCAGACAGCATGTCCCCTATTCATGGTAGCTGGTGTCTACTCTTACCCTTTGCCCTCCCAGAAACATTCATTCAGGAATGGAATCCCCAGCTGGGGGATGGATTCCGAGTCTTTCCATATTTCTATTCCATTATGTTTTTGTGTCCTCACTGATAAGCGAAGATCCAGGGAGCCAGCTGGGTCCGAGGTGAGCAGTTGATCACTCTAAGGAGCCAGAACAAAAATGCAGACTAAAGAACCGGCTGTCAGTTCCAGCCTGTCGCTCTGACCCAGGGGCAGAGAGACAAGGGCCTTGGAGCCAGTTATTCTGTCTCTTAACAGGTTCTTGCTACAAATTTGACATTAAAATGACAAATCTTTCCCTACCCTTCCAGAAAAAATAATGATATGCTCCAACCGTTAGGTGAAGAGAGTTAGTTCTGGGTGCCTGCCACCGCTCCATCACTTCACGCAGGAATGAGGATTGGTTGGGGGAAGGGGTACAGGTGACCTGCCTGGGGAAGGATATCTATTGTCCATACATATACTGGACTCCTGGCACTCCTCTTAGGGAGCAGGACCTGGAAGCGCTGTGCCCTGGGGACTTAGTGTGGCAGGCAGAGACTTGCGAGTTTTCTAAGGACGCATCTCAAGGGAACACAGCCGCGCCCACACCTCACCTCTCCTCAGTCCATTTCCCTTAAGACTTCTGCTGTCAACAGCAATGGGTAGAGATGTTAAAAAACAAAAACAATCCCACAAAACACTGTGTGCATCTTTCAGTCTGCACCCTAGCTCCCAAGAAGACAGGCACGGTAGACACTACAGCTGCTTTCCCTCTACCGAGTGGAGTGGGCAGCGTGGAGGCAGAACTCTAAGCAACCTCTGTGCTTCAGGTGAGAGCGAAGGCGAAGGCCTGGGAAAGACACCCCCCACCCCTGCCGCCCCGCTTTCCGCACAGGAAAGGAACCAGAGCCAAGCAATGCACTGCTTGCTCGCGGCCGCCAAGCCCGGGTATGCTTGACACACAGGCGGTCTGCAGCATCAGCATCCGTATCAGCTCAGCTTTCCAGAAGTGGTCGGCGGGGTGAAGGAGAGCAGGTGGCGGCTGCCCGGCCACCGCCCTTTCTTTCCAGCCCCAGGGGCATCCATCAGAGTGCGACAGGGATGCACACGGGGCTATCAGTCGCGGATGTACTCGTGTCAGCTTCATCGAACCAGCAGCACCTCTAGTTGGAAGCCCCGGGGACCGAACCTGCAGCTTCGAGCTCGACTGCGGACGAATCCCGGGGCTGCGCGTCTCCCGCAAAGCGCCCGGGTGCCACGCGGAGGGATACGCCTCGGCCGCGCCTCCTCTCCCGCGTCCCGCCCCGACTCCCGCCCGCTCGGCTCTGCTGCCGCCGCGGCGGCCGCTGCTGCTGCCGCTGCCGCCGCCGCCGCCGCCGCCGCCTGGATATAGTGCGGCAAGGAGCGGAGCTTGCAGTCACTTCGCGAGGAGGAGCGCGCGGGCTGCGGGCGGCTGGGGCACCCGGGAGCGAAGGCGGACTAGGAGAGGCGGTCGTGGCAGCGGAAGGTTCTCTCTCCAGGGCTGGACTTAATAACTTTGGAACTGTCCACCAGTGTCACGTCCTGAACATGAGCCTCCTCCTCTCCTTCTACCTGCTCGGGTTGCTTGTCAGTAGCGGGCAAGGTAGGAGTGTGGTGCTTTATTGCATTTACTTTCCCTCCCCCTTCCTCCCAAACCCAAAAGAGCTCTGCATGGGAAGAATTAAATGAAACAAAGTTACAGGCGTTGTGGATGTTATTATTTTTGTAGCTCTTTTCGTTTAGCTTCCCCTAAAATTGTATCTCTTTTCTGGAGACCCTGATATAAGAGGAGGAAATACAGTATTGGAAATGGGCATCAGTGAGCAGGAGATCCAGGCAAACTGCTCCTTTTTTGGGGATTTTGGTTTTCTCCGAATTTCATTATCAAAAATTGGATGAGTAGGTTGGGTGTGTGTTAATAGTTAAATATCTGAGGTTGCGGAAGGGAAGGGTGCGATGATGTTTTACAGAAGCAGCAAAAACTATCAGCATTAAACTCGTTTGTGGAATATCTCTGTTGTATGCAAGAAATACTATTCTCAGACACTCGTTATTTTTTTTTTCTATTCTCAAAACCAATTCCTGACTATAAGGTGAATAATGATGGCTTATGTATGTTGCAAACTGAGAGGGGCCATAGATGTTGTGTATAAGAAAACAAATGGATAAAACTAGGGATATGTTGCAGTCATTCATTTTGACCCTGCACCCCTTAAAACACCAAAATCGAAAATTTTATAACATCAGATCCTAATTGCACCTGTAAGGAGCTTTAGGGGTTGTGGAGAATTAGTGGGAGATTTTATATTTTGAGGTAAAAAAAAATAACCTGGTAGAATAACCTGAGGGAGAATCTGTGGAAGCTGCCTATGTTAATCTGTATAGGGATACAAATGAATTTTTGTTGGTTTTTCGGTTACTACACCTTCACATAAAATATATTTAGAATATATGGAAGCATTTTCAACTGTCCACACAAGTTTGAACATTTAATTGGAGAAACAAAATGCTAAAACATGCATTTGTGCAAGTACTTATAGAAAAGAAAATAGTAGTGATTTTGTCATGTGTAAAAATAAAGAGATGTTATATTGCTAGTGTATCACGAAAAATTTTATAAAATGAAAATTGCAAGTTAAGTTAAAATATCTTCACTACATGTAGTTCTAAGCATTTTAGCCTTTTTTGTGTTGTTCATTTGGTCCAGCAGGGGGTGGTAGTACTCCATTTTAGGCACAGAAATGGTTCTTTCTGCTTTTGCACAGTCCTTCTATCATTCTTCGGCAGGGCTTGACATTTGGGATGTGAAGCCTTCCTTTTGCTGTCCTTCTCCTCCCCAAATCTATAGTGTTAGCAGCTGATGAAAATTGGTTGGATGCAGGTTTTATGTAGATGCTGGATATTGCTATAGTTTGTAAACTGTCTTAGTAAGATGCTGATAATTTTTCCTTGTAGAATATATAAAATTTCAGTATTAGAAAAATTGCAGATATGTTCCTCTGAAGCTAACATCAGCCCACTCCAAAATTCAGTCTCTTCTGTAGCAATGACCACCGTACACTTATTCCCTATAGATATGCTGCTTTCTTTGGAGAGCTGCTGATTGTGTCTAACTACACTTATAATATAGACAGGTATTTCTGAATACCAAGAAACAGTCTCTGACAATTGCAGTTAAAATACAACTGCAATTAAATAAGTTAGATAGCAGCATAAAAGGAAGCAAGTTTGCAGACTTATGATTACATTAGTAGTGTCTCGGAGAATAACAATGTCTTAGTTGTAGATCCAGTGTGTATGTCATTGCAGACACTAAGTGTGTTTGAATTCTGGAATTGAACGGAAATCTAAAAATGTCTAAAATCTAGATTTAAACAGTACACACAGACATAACTCATTTGGGTCTACCTATGTAATGTATATATAAAATTTTGATTCCATTAATTTATAATCAGTATTCACGGTGGTTATAAGAAGAGCTCTGAACCAGAAGCATGTCTGAAGTGGAGCCCATATTCACTCTAATGAAACAGGATAAAAGGGGAGCATCATCGTAAAGATCTTTCTATCTAGTGCAATTCAAAATGCATGGCACTCATAGAACCACAGATGCATGTCAGAGGGACCTAGCTTTTGTGAAAATGAACATGCAGTATGGCTGTGCCATGTGTCCTAATGAAGATGTTTAGAAATAGAAGTCCTCATCCTGGATTCTAATTCCTCTATGCTAGTGTTTTGTTCTCTAATTAAGGATGCAGCAGCAAGTATCAGACACACCACTGGGAGCTGCTTTTTATTTTTTTAAATGAACCTTGTGTAACTCATGATTTTGTTTATTCTTTTGTAAATGGGGCCAGGGAAAAGCTGCCAGTCAGTGATCCCTAGGCTTTCCTTGAAAATACTAAAACCCCAGCTTGCTGATTTATGTTTCCAACAATATACTTCCAGGGGATTTTATGAAGCATGAGTGAAGCTATTGCTTTGGAAAGTGGTGTGCAGTTAGACTGGGAAAAGGCAATGATGATGTATTCCCTTTTAAGTACTGAAAACATTTTGAACTCAGTAGTTGAATAGAAGAAAATGACACATGTAAAAACTGACAAACTTAAGTGGATGCCAATAACATAATTAGCTAACGATATCTAATAGTTTTACTGCTAACTTTCAATCCAACATTAGGGAAAACTATTTTATTGAAGCAGAAATATTCTTTTAACAGCCTCGCAATTCCATTGCAAGATTGATATCTAATGAAATAAGGTTGTCAAGTTTGATTTTAGTTGTCCATGGAAAGAGAATTCAGTAATTTTGGAACTTTTGCAATTATTTTTGCTTTGCATTTAAAATTTGATCACAGCTTCTGTTGTCATAAATATCAAGTGATAACTTGAGTCTTGGATTAACAGTACACTTACTGTTTAGAAATTAAAATTTCGAACCTGTAATATGTATGGGTTTCTTTCCTGAAAGTTTTTAAATGTTTGAAATAATTTTTTTTCTTTTAAAACTTATCCAAGTGGGTTTAATAAACATGTATTGCAGATTGTTCACATATGTAAATAGAAGCACTGTAATACTAAAATTGAATGCTATTTATCACCCTTGCAATCCAATTTAACCATACATTGTTAGAACACGTACATAAGGCAAAATCATGGGATAGGGAGAGTGGCTTTTCCAGGCATTTGCTTACAATTTTTCACTTTGGGGAAGTACTATTAACTCATTGTTCATTAAAGAAACGTATCTTCTAAAACTGGAGAACATGTGTGTCATTGCCAACTAGTTTCAAGTGTACAGAATAGATCTCACCAAAGTCATCCCCTGTTTAGGCTGTTACACAGGTACAGCCTCTCTCATATCCTTTCTGTCTATCCTGCTGTCATGCTTTGATACCAGAATCCTTGTGCAAGATTTCTATTGAATCAATTGCATATTCATTTCCCCATAGAGAAGAAAGACTATAAAATTAATACCTTCTTTTGTCAATGAATAACCCAGAGGATTTAAACAGACCATTTTTTCACTTTCATTTCTCATGCTGAATCTGAGCCCACAGAGCAAGAAGAGAAGTTTTTGGATCCCAAGTGTCAGAATGAGGTATTTTTTTGAATGACACAGGGGTCTAATGTTCTCCCAGACGTAATATCTTAACCAGAAAAGCAATTAATAGAACAAAAGAACCTCTTTCAGTACAACAGGAAAATCAAACTTCATATAATTTTGTAAATAAAATGACATTCTTCCTGAAATAGACCTTGTTTGTAATGAGACCGAGAAATGAGCTACAGAGAGTGAGGCTTGAAACCAAGCTGAACAGTGCAATTTGTTTCTGGCCTGTTTCCTTGTTTGGGAGCAGTGAGAATAGAAACAGGCTCAGCAATCTGAAGGCCCTGGAACTTGTCCTGCTGCTTTCTCTGGCTTTTGACATTTGGAAAATCATTTTAACTTATCTGTTTTCAGGGTCATCTCTCACAGCAATGAACTAAGATCATGAAGAAAAGTGTTCAATAAATGGGAGAGCAAATCTGAGTTCCTTCTGTGTGTGTGTGTGTGTGTGTGTGTATTTGTGCATTTGTGTACAAAATAATATTAATGTTCTAGATGTTGATGTATGCAAAATTAATTTAGGGGTGTTAATATGCTTACAAAGAGAATATAAATGTTTTCATGTTTTATTGACCTAAATTCTAATTTCCTTGCACCCTTTTACTATCCCAATTATATTGAGGATAGCCTATTTTTAAAATGATAAATACATCTTAATTTTCCAAATGACATGATAGGAGAACACTTCAGATTACAACTAGTGCTTTTATGGTCTTATTAAAGGTAATATTCCTGCACTTCATGGAGCTAAGCTATCTTTAATTGTTCAGCAAATAAAAGTACTTCTCTATGGTACCCTTTCAAAATATTCTAATAACTCCTAACTACTTACAATTATAATAGTGCTAATCCCAACTAACTAAAAACAGATTTCTCACTTTCACTTGTCACTTGTGCCACTATCAAATCATCACACACCAACAGACATTTAGAAAGCTATGATGTAATGGCACAGACTTGCCTGAATTTAAATAAGAAAGATTCTGGAGAAAATTTGAAAATATCTGTAAGCATGAGATGAGAGTTAGCAGAATTTCAAGGTGAATGATCAAAATTTTCTTGGATCTGCTTTGTTCATTAAAAATCTAACAGGGAAAGGGCAAGAGTACTGGCTATGGAATCATAAGACCCAGACTACTAATAGTCTCATGACCTTGAAAAAGCAACAGAAATTTTTAGAACCACTGTTTGCTTCTTGGAAAATTTGATATAAAAGTGTATGACTAGTTGAATTTGATTCTCATCCACAAGGAGTGGTAGTGATAATAGATATGTATGAGCACCTCGGGAAATATCAATGCTACTGCACCAGATTCTGCTCACATTTTTAGTAATAGTCATAGAGATAAATTTATCTACACTTTAAGAATATCTCATTTATTCAATTTTTAAAAATCATTGATGCTGCTTTATAATTAGAAAAATATTGAGAGAACAGGAGTTACCTAATTAATTGATGAGGGTAATCATTCATTATTTACTCATTTTGTGGCA